AGACAACGTCGAACTGGATTTTCTGCCTGTTGTTAAATTAACATCTCACGGAGCTGTAGGGATTTGCTTCGACATGGAATCGTGGCAAAAATTTCAAGAAAACATGGAAACGATGTCGAGCTACTTAAACGGTGATAAAATTAATTTGAGCTCGATCATCTTTAACAAGATAATTGTAAATTTCACTACCGCATGGTGCTAGAGCCATACTAATAACATATCGTGAAAACGAGCAAGAAGATCTTTCTTCCGAGACTGTGGAGGATACGAACGAAAACGGACCGAAGGCGAAGAAACGTAAAACTTACAACATTGCGATAGTCATGCAGAGAACGACTTTTCAAGGTGTAGAAAATATAGTTGATTGTGTGAACGCTAATTTAAATCGTCTAAATTTTATTTCAACTAATGTCAACGAATGTGCTCGATATTTAATTAACGAAATACAGTTAAATCTTCCTGTCAACGGTAGCATTAATAACAGTATCGTGAAACTCACGATCAGAGGTAACAGTAAGAAAATAGAACGTAATGTACGTACCCAACTGAAAGATTTAACATTTCTCGATGTATACTTTGAGATAACATTTTTAGAAATAATTTCACTTTATTTCGAACAAATTGTACATAAATTATATCAAAACGTAAATTTTAATAATTATTCGACGAATATTTTCTTGAAATGTTTGTTCACGATCAGAGGTAACAGTAAGAAAATAGAACGTAATGTACGTACCCAACTGAAAGATTTAACATTTCTCGATGTATACTTTGAGATAACATTTTTAGAAATAATTTCACTTTATTTCGAACAAATTGTACATATAATTATATCAAAACGTAAATTTTAATAATTATTCGACGAATATTTTCTTGAAATGTTTGTGAATAATTTTTCTGTAAAAATATTTTAATATAAATCATATTTGTACTTTTAAAACCATTGTTCAATTTTCTTTCACTTCCTCTTTCCAGAAATTTCCTCAACATCCATGTTTCTGTTTACCTTCATTAAGCAGCGAGTTATTTTAAAATAAAATTTTATCTGACATCTTTTCAACAATAAGCATTCTTTCTAATCTACGATGATGCATTATTTTTTTATCGTGACACGAGTCGGAATGCTCGCCAGTACAAATATTTGCGTGTTCTTTTTTTATTACCCTACGGCATTGTCAGTTACTACCTGCCACCGATCCCCGGTCGACCGCATGACGCTTTTCTTGGTCAAAATGTTTTTACCCCACCCCGTCTAATATCGACCATTTGATTCGACGAGCTATCCTTGCCATACGTATACCCTAACTGTTTTTACCCCACCCCGTCCAATATCGACCATTTGATTCGACGAGCTATCCTTGCCATACGTATACCCGTACCCCCATACCGTACCCTACGCAACTTTAGCTTAAATACCTCATCTAATCCTTAGACTAGTAAGATCTCGTTTAGCTCAACATACTAGGACCCTGCTCGGAAACACGAAGGCCCCAGGTTCAAATCCAGAGGAAATCAGAAAAAATAAAAAAAAAAAAAAATTCTCATCCCCACCTTCGGGGCCAGTCGCCATTTTTTTTTCCCCAACACCCTCTCCCCCTACACCCACACTCGGAAAAACCAGACGCCGGTGGTGGGGGAAAGATAAGATAAGACACGGCGCCAGACGGGTCGGTGGTGGGGGTTTGTTTTGACGGGCCATAGTGCCCACTATACTACTTGCATAAAATACCGTACATCAATGCAATAACAACAATTTTTTATTTATTCAAATATACTTTTCAATCGATTTTTATTTCGCATAAATGATTTTGTATTAATTCAATTTTCTAATTGAAATTTTTATAAATATCATTAATTACTGGTTCTAAAATTGTTTTAATTAATTATTTAATTTTAATTAATTATTAATTTTATTGTTTTAATTATAACAGTACCTGTCCGAGAATACTTAAATAATACGTATGGAAATAATTGGATGGGTCGTGGAGCACCTTTCTGGCAATGGCCACCAAGATCACCAGATTTGAATCCTTGTGATTTTTTCTTGTGGGGTGCGCAGAAAGAAAAAATTTATTTTAACCGCATAGAAACGCAGGACGAATTGGAAGAACGAATACGAAGAGCGTTTGCTACCGTACAGCGGCGGCATATAAAGAATGCCACAGAAAGCGTTGCGTACAGGGCAATCAAATGTTTGGAAGCGAATGGTGGCCAATACCAACATTTAATGTAAAAAAATTCTCCATTGAATAAATATATTTATTCCTTTTACTTTGTCAAACCTTCATTACATCACATACTACCTTTTATTAAATAAGAAAAATAATTGCAGCATAATTTTAATTCACCGAAATATCTGTATATCGCGATATAATTATAATTAATCAAATTATTATTATGTCGCCACATAATAAAATTTGGATGAATTAAAATTATGTCGATACATAATAAGAATAGAGAATTACTTTTATACTCAGACATAATTTTAATTCACCGAATTATTTCATATCACGACATAATTTTAATTTTATTCCATTTTGTGCATTGTCTATCCATTGTTACATCTATTGTAGAATAAAAAATTACCGAAATTGAAATTATATCGAGATATAATGAAAAGTCGGAATTATTATGTCGCGATATAATTTTAATTTTTCGAATTTTTATTATACCGCGATATAACAGATCGATGAATTACAATTATGTCGCGACATGATAATAATTCGATAAATTTAAATTATGTCAAGACATAATAAAAATTAGGGAATATTTTTATACCCAGGCATAATTTTAATTTATCGAACTTTTATTATGTTTCGATGTAATTTTAATTCACCGAAATATTTGTATATCGCGATATAATTTTAATTCATCGAATTATTATTATATCGCCACATAATAAAAATTCGATGAGTTGAAATTATATCGCGACATAATAATAATTCCGAATTCTTATTATGTCTGGACATAATTTTAATTCACCGAATTATTTTTATGTCGCGGTATAATTTTAATTCATGGAATTATATTGTGTTGCCACATAATAAAATTTTGATAAATTAAAATTATGTCGATACATAATAAGAATAGAGAATTACTTTTATACCCAAACATAATTTTAGTTTATCGAACTTTTATTATGTTTCGATGTAATTTTATTTTACCGAAATATCTTTATGTCGCGATATAACTTTAATTCATCGAATTATTATGTCACCGCATAATGAAAATTCTTTAAGTTAGAATTATATCGCCACATAATAATAATCCAAAATTTTTATTATGTTTCGAAATAATTTTAATTCATCGAATTATTTTTATGTCTCAACATAATTTTAATTCATCGAATTATTTTTATGTCTCGACATAATTTTAATTCACCGAAATATCTGTATATCGCGATATAATTTTAATTCATCGAATTATTATTATATCGCCACATAATAAAAATTCGATAAGTTGAAATTATATTGCCACATAATAATAATTTCGAATTTTTATTTTGTCTCGACATAATTTTAATTCACCGAATTATTTTTATGTATTAACATAAATTTATTTCATTTATATTTTATAAGACAATTAATCATTTAATCTTTTTATATTAAATGGAATATTGTTTATGCTATGAAAAAGTAAAACTGCGTACCATACGTGAGCGCGGTTGCCGCCGCGCCGCAGCTAACTTCGCGCGCCCGCCCCTGACTTACTCTTGTAACTCCGCGCTGATTGACTGATTACAATAATTAATTGCGGTGAAATTATTCATCAGATCGAAAAATAGTATTAGACATTTTCTCTTAGATTTTCATTCTCTATCGAATGGTGCTGAGCAAATGCGACACTTTTTTAACACCCTGTATAATAATAAGTATATATATGTATGCACGTCTAAAATCATCCTAAAGAACTATATTTATAATATTCTGTTGCAGAAATAATTTTAGACACTCATCCAACTGTAAAAGAAATAGAATTTGAAACTGAATGTGCCGATTGGTTGCGTTTTGCCAAACAACGATTCGATCGAGAGAATAAAAAAAAAGAAGTTTGTTGAAGAAGTAAGTTGAAAATTATTTTGAGGAGAGGATATCTATATGCACTAATATATTAGAATTGAGATTGCGCTAATTTTCTCTTTTAAGTATATACATTTAATTATTATAATAAAATAGTTTAAGTTTTCATATTATGCCAAAAGATATTCAGTATTTAACACAACGCAGAAAGCAACAATTAAATTCTTTATATTTTAATGAAATAAGTAATGAATCTTTAATTAAAAGTCTGCCATCGTCATTGTCTTCGGTTGTAAAGTAAATAGAGAGTCATGTAATCATGCTATTGAGCAAACAGCTTGTGAACCACATTTGAAAAGTAATAATGGAGAATTGAATAATGAAATAGCTCAGGAATTAATGTTTAACGAATATGTTGAAAGAAATTATATTTCTAATGACAACGTCGAACAGTGGTCGAATCATGATAATCATTATTTTGCAAATAATGAAAGAAATAATTATTTTAATGAGTCCAGTGAAAACAGTTCATCAAAAATAAATTCAGAAAATCTAATTAATCGTTTACAAGTATGGGCTTCAAATTTTCAAATATCTCTGTCTGCTATAAATGCATTACTAAGTATTTTACGTGAAAATAATCATTCTGATCTTCCTAAAGATGGTCGAACATTGAAAAAAACTCCAAAAACAACTTGTAAACAAATTCAATTCGGAAATGGTGGTGCATATATGCATTTTGGATTAGAAAATGGATTAAAACGTTCAATTATTAAATATTTTAAAATTTATTCTGATGTGATTTTTCTTCAATTAAATTGTGATGGAGCTTCTATATCAACAAGTTCAACTAGTCAATTTTGGCCATTATTAGTTGCTATCCAAGCTGATTTTTATTCAGAACCATTTTTAGTAGGTATTTTTCATGGCTATTCAAAACCAAAAGATGTTAACGTTTTTCTTCTTCCATTTGTTAATGATATGGAAAATATTGCTAAAAATGGTATAAATGTAAATGGAAAAGTAATTACTGTTATCCTCAATACAATAATCTGTGATGCCCCGGCAAAGGCTTACATAACTTGTACAAAATATCATACTGGATATTTTGGATGCGGTAAATGCACTCAGGAAGACGAATGGAATGGTACAGTGATATTTCCTGAAATTGATAGTCCTTTGAGAACAGATGAATCATTCATTACTATGAAACAAGAAGAGCATCACAATGGAGAGTCCATTTTAACACAGTTAAAAATTGGTATGGTTTCTAATGTAACAATAGACTATATGCATTTAGTATGTCTAGGCGTAATGAAACGTCTCCTTCAATTATGGACTAAAGGTTCGAAGGATCATAAGTTACCAAAAATTCACTTGATGTATTGAACACTAATCTATTAGCTATCAAAAATTAGTTCCATCGGAATTTGTTAGACAACCAAGAGCTGTAGATATTGTAGACAAATGGAAAGCAACAGAATGCCGTCAATTTCTGTTATACTCTGGACCAATTGTTCTAAAATCGATTTTATCAGAATCTAAATATAATAATTTTCTTGCATTATCTGTAGCGATTAGAATATTATGTGACTCGAAATTTTGTTTTATTTTGAATGATTATGCGAACTCTTTATTGCGATGGTTTGTACTGGAATATAAAAAATTATACGGATATCATTATATTACATATAATGTACATAATCTCATACATCTTAGCAATGAAGTAAAAAAGTTTGGTTGTTTAGACAAATTTAGTAGTTTCAAATTTGAAAGTTTTAAAAAAAATTAAAAATAGAGTTAAACATTCACCGAAGCCATTAGAACAAATTATTAATCGTACTCTGGAAATTAATTCTTTACCAATTTCAAAAGATTATGAGAGAAAATATCCAATAATTCATAAATCTAAAAAAACATTAGATATTTCTAAAGTAGAGTATAATGGATTTATAATTTCTCAAAAAACTAATGATAACTGTTGCCTTCTATCAAATTCAACAGTATTAATTGTTAAAAAATTTTTATTAAAAATAATGTTCTGTACATCCGTGGTAATAAAGTATTGAGATACAAATCATTCTTTACAATACCATGTGACTCAAAAAAGTTAAATATATTTATGATCGATTATTCTGTTGAATCTGTCACCGTTGAAGCTGCAACTGTTACTAGAAAATGTTTTTGTATTCCTTTAGATAAAAATTGTTCAGTAGTGATTCCTCTCTTACATACAGAGTATGAAAAAAACTTATTAATGCGATATATGTATATGGAACATATCACTATATGTATTAAATTTCTGTTTTATTGTCATTTTATATATTTTACAATTTCTTAAAAAGATTCATTATTCATTTATTATAGACTCACGTTTTAAGTATGTTATATAGTATTTATACTATATTTCGAAATAATCTAATAAATCTAATAAATCTAATAAATCTAATAAATCTATTAACAACGGTATAGCAATTAAATCAAATATTTTCCAGAGCAGAAATGTCACACGTAAATGGCTATATTTCCAGCATCGTAACGAAATCGTGTTATTAAACTTAGAGATAGAAGATATCAACTGCAAATTGCGTGTCTTGCGTGCCAATTTGAATCAGATAGAGAAACGATTTGTATAATAATTACCGTATGATTTTGTCCTCGGATTTGTGGATTATAATAAGCATAATTCTCTACAAATATAATAATAAAGAAAAGTGGCGTTTAAGAAAGAAATTCGATTACATTTGTCGGAAGTATTATGGGGTTCGAAAATCCATTGACAAAATAGATTACAGCAAATGGATTGTTAACATTAGTAATTATCGCGTTCCGGATTCAGTTATGAATTTTTTGAGTTTGGGTGACAAGTTGGCGTGCCCATTTTTAGAAATAATAAAAATGATAGGAAAATCTCGGTTTTGGAAAACATAAAAAATATAGAAGCAAATTATAGAAAGTTTCCTAAGGATAACATCGACAATGTGAGATTTTCAGTAGCGAGCTCAGTACACAAATTTTTAAGTAAACAAAAGCATGTGAGTCATATGATAGTTACATTTTGAATAGATATGCTTATAGTTCAAAATTTTTGAAATCAAATAGTAACATTTTCGTAACAAAAGCAGATAAAGGGCCAGGTCACAGTATTGATGAATCGGACTGACTATGTGGGTAAAATGAATTGTTTACTGAAAGATGTTTCCACCTATAAATCACTTAATAAAATCCATTAAACGCTCTCAACGCAAAGATCACGACCTTATTAAAATCTTGGTTGGATAATGGACTCATAGATGATTCAGTTTACAAACAATTGAGATGTACTAATGGCAATTTGCCTCGTGCTTATGGTTTACCTAAGATCCATAAAGTAGGTTACCCTCTTCGTATCATAATTTCAACGTTAGGAAGTCCGGTTTATTACATTGCATCTTATTTAAGTGAGATTTTGCAAAATGCAGTCAAAAACCTCGATCTCACATTAAGGATAGTTGGTCCTTTGTTGAAATTATTAAGGATAAAAACATTGATGACGATCATGTCATGATTTCGTTGGATGTGACTTCGCTTTTTACTAACACACCGTGGGAATTAATAAAGCAAAAAGCAATAAAATCGTTGGGATATCTCACAATTACTTCATTTAACATGGCACAGTTTTTACATGCTATTGACACGGTATGCGCTCGACTAGTTTTGTTTTTGATGGAAAATTTTACGAGAGCAGGTTTTCGGTTCGCCTATGGGGTCTCCTTTGTCTCCAATTTTGTCTGATATGGTTATGGACGATTTGGAATCATATTGTTTGCGTCAATTGGATTTTGAGCCCTATTGTTATTTCAGATATGTTGATGACATTTTTTCAATTATTCCGAAATGTAAAGTGGAGGATATGCTTACGATTTTTAATAGCTTTCACACTCGACTAAGGTTTACGTTTGAATTGGAGAACAATTGTTCCTTAAGTTTTTAGACACAAACGTTATACGAGTTAATGGCAAATTGACGACTGACTGGTTCCGTAAGCCTACGTTTTCAGGCCGTTATATAAATTTTCTTTCGAACCATCCGATGCGTTATAAAATTAGTGTGATCACAAGCCTCGTGGACAGGGCTATTTTACTCGCGGACCCTATGTTTCACGAGAAAACATCATCTTAGTCAAACGAATTCTTCGTAACAATTGTTACCCGTCAACAGTCATAAACAAAATTATTAACAGGAGACTTAGGGCGATTAAATTTGGCGGTAATTTTGGTGCGTCTAATCGAGATAAATTTGATACACGAAATGCTATAGTGTTGCCGTATATTAGAGATTTGAGCGAAAATATTACTCGTTGCATAAACAAAAATGGAATCGGTGTATTATATACCGTTCCTAAAAAATTAGACACATTGATATAAAAAGAGGAAAAGATAGTATTGACAAACTTAAAAAGAACCGATGTCGTTTATAAGATCGAATGCGCGAATTGTGACTCTACATATATTGGACAAACAAAGCGACATTTAGAAACACGTATTAAGGAACATAAAAATAACATCAAAAAAGACACGACATCACACTCAGTTGTTAGTTTGCATCGGACTTGCAACGATCATGAGTTCCGTTGGGATTCTCCTGTGATTCTGCATCAAGAAAAACAAACAAGAAAAAGAGAAATAGCAGAAATGTTTCTATATAAAAAACCAAAGAAAGAGCATTAATTTACAAAAAGATACGGAGAATTTCAGTGGGATTTATGATCGCGTTCTTGAAGCTATTTAATATATTATATTGTCATATGTTACATATTTATTTATTTATTTATTTATTTATTTGACTTTGTATTGACGTTTTAAAAATTGCGAAAGACACAGTACTCTGGTTTTCTATTTTCTCAACGCGTTAGTGACTAAGTTTCTGCTAACAGTCAACATCTTTTTCGTGCTCACTTCTGTCAGTTATACATTGTTCATCAAAACAATGGTTAATTTTGTCGGGGGTTTGCTGTAAATTTGATTTATTGTATAATCTGGTACGTAAACATATATATTTTGTAAATTTATAATTATTTGTATGATTAAGCGTATTAAGAGTATATTATATGTATATAATTGTTCATAGATTACTTGAAAAGGGCTGCAATGACAGCCGAAACGTTGTAATTTAACTAATTTTTAAATAAATTATTGCCAGTCTGGTCGACTTTAAAATTGGAGGAGAGATTTTCATAATTAATAAAGCATTTGCGTATATTTTAATTTGATGACTGCGTATAGCGTAAAGTTAAGTAAAAGTAAAATGCAGAATTATTTATGTTATTTCAATTTATGTATATGTTTAAATAATTTATACAATTTTATGTTTTATTTCATTTCAGTTTAATATATGTTCAAATGAATATATGCAATTATTGTGTTTCTTTCATTTAAGTTTTTTATATTTGTAAAAATTTTATATGCATTTAATTAAGATATAGGACATAAAAAAGTAAAATATTACTCCTTTTTATATTTATTATTATATTATTAGCATTCGTAATGATTATTACTTGTAATAAAAAAATTATTATTGTGTTATTTATATATAATAAATATATAATAATAAATAAAATTTTTAATAGAAATTATATATATTATTTATATTATATCATATACCTTTCCTCCTATGTAATTACAATATAACAAAATGATTATGCATATATTACAGTTCATTACAATTATTTGTTATATTAATGTTATTATAATATTAGAGTTTTGGTTAAATTTATAAAATTGTGTAATATAATTATTACATAACATGTTATATTGGATTGTTATGTTGTTGAGGCGGCGGAAATTGTAACTTACATTTAAGTTATTTCTAACAACAAT